CCCCTACGCATCGCTACTGTCTGTTTGAATCTAGTCTGGGAGGTTTCATCATAAGATGTAATGACATTAATACTCTACAGTGTAGACTTCACGTCAGGAAGGCAAATGTACATTAGATTTTAAAAACCCAATGGACTGTGGTAAAAATTGGATTCAACATTTAATATTATTTATTTTAATGAATGCCCTATCATCCATCTCCCAGGTGACTCTCAGCATCTCTTGGAGATTTATACCTATTACCCCCCCCCCCCCCATAGCTTTATAGAAGAAATCTATATTGTATAAATATACAGGCAGTACTCGACTTACGTTTCGAGTTACGTTTCACACTTACAACATTTCTAAATTAACACCCTGTTTCAACTTTCTGATGTCATTTTCGGCTTTACAACGCTTGATCAGATGTGACGCCATGCCAGTGAACAAGTCACTGTGTCACCCACCTCTCTGGAGCACATCTGTCCAAACTTCCTTGGACAGTTTAAGAAAGCAGACAAGACTCCAGAAAAACCTGCAGCCAAGACTCCTAAGAAGACACCAGCCAAGAACCCTTGAAAAAGTCCAGTAAAGTCACCTCAAAGAAGTTCTTCCAAATCAATATGATTGCTATTTAAAATACAAATGCATTAATGTAGCTATATTACTCATCTATAAGTGATTGAGTACAAAAATCTGGGTTATTTTTGGTGAAAACAGGGTATTGGGCCTTGGTTCAGGAACCAATCCCCCATTTATAACATTGTTTCCTATGGGAAAATCGGTTCCGAGTTACGTTTTGACTTAAGACCCTGTTTTCAGGAAACAACTGTGGTGTAAGTCTGAGGACTGCCTCTAGATTTATAGGAAAAGATGTATATATCTAATTCCTGGAGACTCTAGGGCAATCCTGGAGGGCTGACAACCCCATGCTCAGACAGTTTCGCTGGTCTGTGTCCCTCGACTCCTTCAGGGGCAGCGGGCGCTGGTTGGTGTGCTGTGCCGATGTCCCCTTCCGATGCCCCGGTGATTAACCTATGACCTCAGCCCCGTCCCTGTTTTCCTGTTTGTTGCCCCAAGCAATGAATCTGTATCAGTGGAGACGCGCAGGGGGTACGTGGGGGTGCACGTGCACCCCCTGAGGGCGCTGGTGCACCCGACAGGCCATGCTCCCCGCTTAGGTGACGGACAGGGGAGACCGGTGGGAGCACCAGTGCCAGCTGAGGAGCAGGCGCACCGCGGGCACGTCTGGAAGTCGGTGAGATTGGCCGTAGCAGGACCGCCCCCCCGTTGCTGACTGGTCACGGGAGGAGGGGGGTACATGCTCCCCTGACTCAGGTGGCACCAGTCTCCCATGATCGGTATAATGTCCTCAGTGGCCTCCTTTCTTAAGGGGTACTTATAGTTTCCGCAGTGGCTTGAGGCCCAGGATATCAAGGCACACGAACCACACACAGACCCGGGCTGAGCCCGGCCGGGGATGAAGGCCGGCCCCAGGGCGGGGGTGGGGCCGGGTCCAGCAGGTGACTGGGGCGGTGCAGCCCGGCCCGGGCCCGCCCCTGAGCGAGGCGGCGCCTCCCCGCTCCGACGGGCCGCCATGGCTGAGGGGCAGGATGTATTCGCGAGGGCGC